TCCACGTTTGTTACCAGGATTCACACTAGAAAAGCTGACGGTAGGATGGAATCGGGAGTTTTCTGCTTCATGGAGAGTAGGAGGCTTTGTGTGTCTTTAATTCTAATATCTACAAAATACCTCTGCTTCTCTTCTGCTCTCTGAGCATAAAGAAGCAGATAGGCTACAGTTCGGAATCCCAGGCTGCGCAGGTTGTGCAGAATCCTGTTGAGAGATCCCCAAATTGCAGTAACCTGTCAATGAACTTACTGTGTAATTTAGCATCACAGGACCTTACTGAGCAAGGTGCTTGGAATCTGCTAGACATGTTCTGCACTTTTTGTTTTCCTTGACTTCAGCAGAGGTGCTCATCGTTTTCCAATCATAGGCATTTAGCAAGGGATACCTTTAGTAATATTTTGTTTTACATCTGCTAGGACGCTCTTTAGCAAAACGGGCAATTGCGTGAAGTTTTTGCGGTGTAAATTCTCGCTGCGTCATGAACCTGCTAATCCTGTCACGCTCACTTACATGGTGTGTAAAATCACCGTGCTCTTACCACGTTACTATAGTCTTACTTTTATTGTTTATTGGATCTAGGAATATTCCTTGAGTAACTTACATTATTATATTATACATGTGTTTAAATATGGTTTTTTTTCTCTCATGCTCTGTTTGCAAGTAACCTTGGGTTCCCTGACTGTATATAAGCAGTTTACTTTCTGCTCCCCCTTGCTGGCTGTGTTGCAATTGTAAATTGGTGTGCTATTTCAAGAGTGGCTCTCCTGTCAGTCTGATAAGATCGTACCACCAGGAAGGCATAACATTATAATCCTAAGCACAATGTGATCCTGTTCATTTTAGCTCTTGTACTTGTCACAGGGACAAGAATAAAGGTTGTGCATGGGTGCAAGGTGAGGGTAGAAGTGAAGATAGTCGTAGATAAAACACTTAGCTAAAAGAGATGAATCTTGCACAGGGACATCCCAGTTCATAATCAAGGTGTTATCTAGAAATAAACTTTGAAAACTGATTGGGATGTCCTGAAGAAAACAGGATGAAAGGGCAACACAGAGAATATAGCATTTTGGCATGGATTTGTGACAGGGGGAAAAAAAAAAGGAATTTTTATTTTGTCCTTTTTTCTTAGATCTGATACCACATTTGAAACATACTATACCAAAGACGGCAGTAATAAGATTATTCTACCAGAAACAGATCTGTATAACAAAAGGTTTCTGGTAATTCTAGACTCGCTACCTTTTACTCGGAGAAATGAGCACTTTCCAGATAAGGCCTCTAAAAAAGAGGTAAAATTTAAAGCATGCCTTGGGGTATGGGGACTTCAGCCCCTTAAAAGGATCCCTGCAATTACCTAACCTGCCAACTTTCCAACAAGATAAATGGAAGCACTGTAGCTTGAAGGTGCCTTGGTTTGAATGAGATGCAGTAAGTAAGGTCTCTCTGTTCTTTACAGGCATCATAGATCTGATAGTACTTATAAAAGAAGAATAGAGTTGGTGCCCTGCTGACTAAATTGTCCTCTAGAGAAGTATTAGTTACAGAGCTTCTTTGTTAACTAGGCTGTATGCTTAAACCACTGTGAATTTCTCTTATTAGCAGGCTTTTTAATAGCTTTACATATGGATATGCTAAGTAAATGCAAGTATATCCTTATAATTTACGTATGTAATGTGTATGTGTACAATCTATTCTCTATAAATAAATGTTTGTGAAACAGAAATTGCACGTTGCTTCATTACTGTTCTCTTACACTGAGGAAAAAAGCGAGCGTTATAAAACTGATAAGAGGAGAGAACGGTAAGTCGACTTCTGCTCTTTCTGTCTGGGTGCTTCTTGTAAAGTCTTTCTTTTTCTACTTCTCTTTAATTTCCCAATTAGCTTTTGTGGAGAACAGAGGTGTTTCTAAAGCCTTTGTATGCTGAAGGTTTCCCAATTGCTCACCTACTCATGCTTTCTACCTTAGAAGACTAGGTAAGGCCATGAAGTGTAAGGTAATAAAAAGTAGTAATTCCCAAGCTACCTTGTGTGTAGTGGCTAGTATTTCTCCTTTTTGCCCATTGTAACACAAAGTAAAGGTTATATGGCCCAGGCAGCTGTATAGACAATAGCCTTTTGCACAGTCCTGGAAGAATCCTTATTATCAGATTTCTCAATTGATCTGATGAATACTGGTGCTCTGATAACTTCCTTGACAGATGAGTTAAATGAATTGCGAAGCGTCCGTGTGCATTATCCAGCCTTGGAAGGAAATCCCCCTCTCTGTGCTCCGTGAGCGTGTGGAGCGTCAGGCGGCGCACGGGTGCCAGGCTGGAGGAGCGCCGAGGGTGCCTGGAGCCTGCCTGCCTGCCGAGGTCTTTATTTATTGGGGGAGGGTGGCAGAGTTCAGCTCTTTAAATAGCCTGGCATCCCGTAAGCTTTCCTCTTTCTTTCTTTTCTGCTTTTATGAATGAGTTGCATCAGGTTCGTGAGGAAATCCCTTGAAGGCATGCACTTGAGGAAATGCCTGGGACTTGTCACTCACTCCACCCCCATGGGAGATTAGCAAAACGAGAAGTCATAATGCGACCTGATGGAGGAAATGAACTTCGTTCTTGCCCCTGCGTTCTTCCACATACGCGCTCCGCAAGCCACAGGGATAGGGGTGGGGAACTGTCGAGTTTTGCCTTGATCTCTGAACAGCAGATGATACCGTTATGGACAGTACTAGCAGCTTTGTGGGGTTTTTTGTTATTTTTTGGTTTGTTGATTTTTCAAATACTGTGTCACGTGCTGAAACAAATGAAGGCTTTAATCCAAACAGTGCTTTAAAATCTTCATTATTCTAAACCATGTGTTTTCTATGTCTTTTATCTGTTGGGTGCCTGTCTATTTTTTTACACAGAATTTGTGTTCATTTTGAATAGCATCTATTCTGCTACATTCTCTTTTCAGGGTTTTATTATATGCATTTCAGCAGCATTTGTTTTATCAGCAGTTCCTGCAAGCTGTAATGTTACACATTACGACGGTAGCGATTTGATCCCGTTTAAAAGGATACCATATTATGCATGGAAGAGCAGTAATTACTTACCTGTTTGTCAAATATATTCCACTGTAAAAATCTCTATCATTACACTATATCAAACAGCATTGCTTCTTGTTTACATTTTCTACAGTTAATAGTTTCAAAAAAAAAAGAAACAATGAAAATAGTTTATTGCCAGGATCACAATTAAATTCCTATTTATAGGGATTTGGAAATTAATTCTAACAGGAATGCAAAATTGAAATGTAGATTGAAGTTTTGAAACTTAGTTTTTGTTTTTCATATGCCTAATGAAATACTCCTACAATTTTGTACTTGTCAGAAAAAGCAAAGTTCACCCATGGTGAGAGTTGTGCCTAAAATATTTGGGTCTAACTCAGATTTGTAAATAAGGTCTGTGAGGTGTCCAGTAGAGAGTAACTTGGGTCAATTGTGTTTACTGCCCTTTATGCACAAGGAGGAAACAAATACGGCATTGTCGGTGGCTTTTTATGTACGTTATTGGTGTTATAAACTGTTAGTCTTATTTCTTCCATGGCTTGCGGGACTGATTGCCTCTATGAGGGGAGAGTAGCTGTGAGCCCCTTGTGATGGAGGTAGTCAGCATCAGGCAGCACTGTTACTCTAACTATATCACTTTGCGTTTTGTCCAAGTTCTCTCATTTCTAAGATAACTTCGTTTTTGTTACGCAAATTAGTCAGCAGCAAGTCTTTTGCTTTTTGAGCTCTTTGCCCTGGCAGGACCAGATGCTTTTTGTGCTACGCTCGTGACTAGTCCTGTTGTCTCCAGTGGAACTACTTGCATGAGCCAGAGAAATAAAATCTGTATCAACCAAAGTAAAATTCCCTGTCATCCCAATTATTTGAAGTCCCAAGAGTCAGTTAATGACCTGTTTTATGTGTGAAATAGCTCTCTCCCTCTTATTTGTGCCGTAGTTCAGTAATCGAAATAGCAGCATGCTCCTGAACTTGTGTCTTGCCAATAGTCATAGATGCACAGCTACATTTGTGCATTTTTGGTATGCGGAAGGTCTTTCTGTTGATGCTTAGGCATTAACATTTTTACTGAAAATTAGGGGGCACACGATTGCTTTGTCACAGCATTCTTGTTGTGTCTTGTCTGATTTTACAGCGTTAAAAGAAAAGAAAAAATACTCCCGCACATCCACAGACCAGTATAACTCGTGTGCTCCGGTTGGGCATTGAGGAATATGCCCACTAAACTGTTGTGATAATTCAGATGAGGAGGTTTGGCCAGTGTAGAAAGTTTTCGGTGCAGCATTAGGAAATGGAGCAACTGTTTCATAGTGTATCCAAATGAAACGGGAGGGAAATAGTAAACTGTACGCTAGTCAGATGGGTATCCGATGGATGTACAGAAGTGACCTTCCTTCCTCTTGTAAAATGGCTAGTGGGACCTTCATTGCTGCTGAGAGCAGGGCCTTGGTTTTGTGCCTCTCCTGCAAGGTGAATGAGCTGAATGGGATTATTACAAGGCCTGTGTGTTTTACACCCTTCATCTGTCATGTCGACAATGGTTTAAAGAGTGAAGTGCATAAGCTGTGATTGTAACTGTAGCAAACCCCAAAATGACATCCTGTGTGACAGTGAAACTGATGTATCATTTTCATTAGTTTTAATGTGCTTGGCCAGAATTTGTAGGATTAATTTTAAAAGCTTAATCCAGATGGAAAAGGTTAAATTCAATGCTGAGTGAATTTGGTTCCAATTCATTTGTTGCCCTTGCATGTTCTTTTTCTCAGAAGAGTTAGAGATGAAGCAGAGAAGTGTACATACGATTCTCACTTCCTGTCATCATTTAACTACATGAACCAACATTAAGGAAAGCCTCCTGGTTATCTGCTGTAATAAGTAAATAAATGGTCCTCATCATCGTTCTCCCTCTCAGGTCCCGTGGCGTGCGTTTTACTACTTCTTACTACTACTTACATTCTTTCTCCTTCTCTCGCAGGATTTATCTGGCTCCATTGACGACCTGCCGACTGGAACTGAAGCAACGCTGAGTTCAGCCGTTAGCGCGTCCGGGTCTACAAGCAGCCAGGGGGAGCAGAGCAACCCTGCGCAGTCACCATTCTCCCCTCACGCCTCTCCGCATCTCTCTGGCATCCCTGGCGGTCCATCGCCTTCCCCGGTCGGCTCTCCCGTTGGAAGCAACCAGTCAAGATCCGGGCCTATTTCTCCAGCAAGTATTCCAGGTAAGCTTATTTCAAAAGATTGAATTGGACTGAAAGAATAGACAGATGTAGAATCATAAAAATTAAAAATTGCTTCTGTATTTAAAATGCATTTATTTTATGAGAAACCTGCATTTTCAGGGCCTTTTGCAGTCAAAATGCATACGTAAAGCAGCAATAAGTTCCACCTGAACTTCAGATGCCAAGCGCTCCGAGCTCTCAAAATGCTGCACTTAACTCCAACATGTGCTCTTGATAAATGTCTTTATCATGGACCAGTTCGAGTACTTGATCTTAATTTTTCCTTTGGTTCATGTATCATCTATCTGTCATGTATTTCTATAAATTATTTACAAGGTTTTTCTTTTTTTTTAACTGTGTATTTTTGTTGCCGTTGGCTTTTGGAGTTGTACGGCGGAGTTGTACGGAGGATGAGGCAGAGATTTTCTAACCCTATATTGTGAAAATATGATTTGGGACGTGAGTGCAGAATTTCTAAAGAAATATTTTTTAATATTTGCAAAGGTCAACAAGTTGTTAGGAGTCCAGCCCCACCAGTAATAATTGAAAGGCAGTGGCGTGATTGCCACTCGCTCTCCTGTGCTGCGTAGAACATAACACAAGATCATGCACGCATGCTGAGAAATCTGTGAAGATGTTTTAGTGATACCCAGAAGAAAAAAAGGCATGCATTAATTCTAGTTATATCCTTACCTGGTCCCCACCCATCTGGCATGTCAGATGTAGGCTAAGGGGTTAGGTGGCACTATGCTGGATTTGGTGTTTCAGATGAACTTACTTCCTTTCAGATGCTCAACTTTTTTGATTATTTTCTCACATTCCGAATGCAAAGAGAATTCCTAAGAATAGGCGAGTGCTGGCTTTACCCCGGGAGTAACTTCAGTTGCCAGCAAAACCACAAAAACATTTTCCAGGAGCTCAGTTAAAGGAAACAAAAAATAGTGTTATCGTTTCATTATATACGCCTTAAGCCAAACGCAAAGTTAAAATTTAGCGAGTGACTGTTTTTTGGTATTTAATGCAAAGGTATGTGTGCAAAATGTAAGTGCCTGTTTGTATGCGGAGGTCAAACTAGAAAAGCTAAAGGGAGTAAGCTCGATGCAAGTGTGAAGGCTGCATAAAGGAGGAGGCCGGAGCAGTGCAGAGCCCTTATGCTGCCCGCACGCCTGGCAGTCCCAAGTGTTTCACCTCCAGCTGCTCAGAGCGGCAGCACGTGCTCAGGTGGGGCAGGAATAGCGGGAAGCACGGCAGGAGGGCGGGAGCATTTTGCTTGTGTGTAGTATCGCAATGTGGTATTTGCAGGGTATTTTCCACTGCATTGCACGGAAGGCCCTTCCTGTTGTTGTGTGAAGTTAAATAGCCCACCTAAGCTGGAAAGGTCTTATTTTCCCACAATCTGAACAAATTCTTGCACTTCTGAATTAGGACCAAATTTAATGGCTTTAAGGAGGCCTGAAATTCTGTTTGTACATTAAAGTTCTGACTTCTTGGAGACATCTCAGCTTGATTCAGTTTTGAATATCTCTAAGCAGTCATATTCAAGCAAATAAATTGACTGATATTTTAGTAGCCTGATTGCTGAATAGGGAATGAATGCTGTTGTGTTGAAAATAGCTCCATTTTAACCATGACGGATAAGGATGTAAACAGGACAGTTTGTAGGGAGAAGTAATTTCCATTGGGGTAAAAATAGAGGGGCGGCGGGGAAGCTTTCAGGATCAGGGTCACTTCATCACTTCAGCTGAGCGCAAAAGCTTATTTTGCTGGCTGGCCAAATGGTAGGTATTACCTTTTCATACAAACCTTGTCACCTTTTTGAATGTCAGCTTTCTAGTCTGCTATAGTAATGCAAAGGACCACTTCCTGAGGGAGCATTTTTAGGAACGGCACTAAACAAAATACGCTGCCATGGGTTCCCCCTGCTTAGGCAGACTCCAGATCTGGGTAGCTCTTGTGGCAGAAGATGACGTTTCAGACGTGAGCTAGTGCATTGCTGTCTCCTGAGGAGAACCAGGCAGCTGCATCATCTTTGCTGCTGCTACTGTTGCTTTGTTCAGGCTACAAAATGAAATGAGTAAGTCTGCTCTTTAGGACCTGTGACTAGCAGGGAGCCTTTGGGTGCTCGGATTTTCAAGCCAGATGAACTTGACTGTTCTTGTCAGCCTCCCTTTTCATCTAACTGTGTATTCCCGTGGTTGTACTTCATTGCTAGGAGCTCAACAGCTTGTATTCATCTATTACGATCACGACACACTGGAATAAAGTAATACGGAGCTTGTTTGCATTTCTGTGGCTATTTGCAGCGTTCAGGTGCTGGCAATTTTTAAACAAATATTCTGCAGTGTTGCCTCTCTTCTTCAATAATTTTGTTTGCTGCTATTTTCCTCTCTTTTCTCACCCTACCCTTGTTTGTTCTGACCTCATTCCTCTCCTATTACCTCCTGCGATGTTGTGCCACAGCTTCTCCGTGTGACATAGATTGGCTCTTTCAATCATTCTCTCTCCAGCAAGTCATTGTAAAATGAGCAGCTGTTGTGTTGCTGATAGCTATGACTAGGGAAAGCCAAAATGTTGCAGGGGGTGCTTGGTGGGAAGGCCGTTAAAATAAAGGTGTTGCTTTCCCAGGGTTTACTGGAAGAGAAGCATCCTTTTCCTGATGCCTCCTCCATTGCAACAAAATTGACGACTAATTTAACATCAAAAGGGCAGACAAACAAACAGCCCCCTATTAAACCGCCCAAATGGCTGGTTCTGTTCCACTGCCTGTTTAAGCTGTTTCCCCACCCCACCGCAAATCTGCCTTCCCATATTGCTTTCTGTCACACGTTGTGAATTTCATGGCACGGACAGCACGGGCATTGGCACATCCCTAACTCAGTGGGCATTTCCTTCCTGTACGCTTTGAAATACTGCACAGATATTTCTTGTGGTAAGTGGCACTCATATGCAGTCTTTGTTTCCCTTCACATTACCACAATACATCAGGGAGATTAACCCCAAAGAGCCGAAAAAGCCACTTTGTCCTGTTCTGTTTGGAAAGGCAGCTTTCTTCTCTCAAAATGGTATCACTTGGCTTTCAGACGCACTTCCATTGCAGCACTGAAATCTTACACTTTTCTGATTTTAAGGATATAAAATGCTATTGTGATTTCCTACTAAGTAGGTCATTATTCTACTTTGCCAAAAATCCTGGTCTCTTCACTTTGTAGCTCTCTTCATAATTAGGGTGCACGTTCTGCCCAAGCATGAGATGTGATGCCCTGCACTGCTTTAGGTCCTGAACTGTGCCTGATTCGACCCTAACCCATTAGTGGAAGCTGACACAGCACAACATCAAAATGTGCTGCTGTTGCCAGAAGATTTAGTGGATGTTAATTTTTTTTTTTTTTTTTTTTGCCTACTGCTCCAACCATTCTGCTTCCAGTTTACTAACAAAGCAAAAATGTAAATAAGCTCCACTCTCCCCCACCTCCAGTTTTTATCTCGCTGGCCAAAGGCTTTTGTCAGCTCTTTCTCCCTTGCGGTGTAAGCAGCAAAAATTTTTAATATTAAGAGTTCAGTGGAAGATTGCTGATAGGCCAGGAATCCCTTAACCCGTGATGGGCGAGCAGATTTTGTACGAGTTAATAGCTTATGTTATTTTTAAACCTCTGCAGCAATTTTTGTATGTGTGGAAGACAGCAGTATGCTATACTAATTATGAGTGGCAAATGCTGTGTTTAGAAATATGTAAAAGTATATTTTCACATAGAGCAGTGTTTTTAATACATATTATTTTTACCTCCTGAACAAACAAGCTTATTTTCACAGTGTTAAGCATCAACTACTTTGTAATTGTTGTCATTACAATTAGATTGATGTCTTCTTTCACCAAGGAGCTTGAATACAGCTGGAGTTAAAATTTTCAGGAAGAATTCCATGTGTGGATATTCTCGCTTAAGGGTGCTGTTGCTAGTCGTCTTAATTTATGCTGACAGACAGTCAGCACCCTCTTCTGATTTATTAAAAAAAAAAAAAGTATCCCACCTGCAAAATTCTTTAGTCTGATAATTATATGAGGCAACGAGTGTGTTCCACATGGTGATCAGCTCTACTTTCTGCAGACCTGGAGGTCTTCCACTCATACATTGATCTGCTAGCTAGCTTAAATGCCAGAACCTGTCAGAAATACATATATCATTCGAGGAATAAAGAAGCAAAAGAGGAATGAGATGCCCAGAGAGGGCTGTGATAGGAAGTCTTGCCTTGGTATGCATGATAGTCAATGTATGGATAGAGTAGAGTGATTTAAACAGTGTGATAAGAAAGAAATGGGTAATACTGAGTCCATCATAGTCTAAAAGGAGATTTTAGTGCAAAAATCGGAATAGGAGTGGTGGTTTCCTTCATGCCTTATAAAAGAGAACTGTTTCTAGAAATTGCTGCAGTAAAGAAGCTGATTGGACAGATCTTGTTTTAAATGAGAATTTGGAAAACACTTTTGCTTGGTATTGAGCTATTCCATATGCTTTCTCCTTGACCACTGCTGTTGGTATGTTACAGTGTTGATTCTTTTCAAACATTACTTGAAGGAGGGAAGGCTACCATATGAGAATGAATCTGTGAAGCTATATTCTTCATTCAGTTGTTACAAATATCTTAAAATGCCATTGCAAAACAGGAAAGGCGATTATTTCCTTGTAAAATGGACAGAATCCCCTTGTCTAGAGAGATTATTTTAACACATCTATCAATATTTCCCCCTTGGTTTCTCTGGAGGCAAAAATCTTGCAACAGCTTGTTGCAAGGAAGATGCATGCTGTTTATTGGCAACCAAACCAGAAAAAGGAAAACACAAAATGCCATTGACGTAGCTATGTTCTTAATGCCGACAGTACACAAAACATCTATTCAGCAGTTTTGCAAATCTAGAATTCTTACAAATGAAATACTTGAGTGTTTCACATAGCAACAGTTTTAAACCCTTTCTTCTGAAAAGTCTGAACAACATTTAGAATTTG